GACGCCATGTAATTGCCTGGATTAATCTCCATGGCTATGGATGACAAAGTCTGTGAAAAACCATTGAGTTTCACAAATTTGTTTAGATACTTGAGGTTCAAAGTGTTACTCATCTTGTAAATGTGAAAAAATTATGGAATATACACCCTTTCCCCATTAGTCATAAAGAACTGGCTTTACTACTTATGATTACAAAGCCCAGTGGAAGGCTTCTTCTACCAATTGCATCTTTGCAGTAGGAGAGGTAGATTATTCAATATTTATTATCAGCATTCCTAGGTTGTTATCCTGACAAATGAACCTAGGAGCTCTTGGTATTTCTTTCTTTCTTTCATTAATTTCTATACCACCCAATAGCTGAAGCTGTCTGGGTGGTTCACAGGATTAAACAACTCAAAATTAACCTAACAATCACTCAGACTTTGCTGTTTGTTTTGACCTAATGGGTCAAAGTTCCAACACTAAGCCAAAGTATTTGCATAGCTGAAATGTGTGCGGCCAGGGCACAGACTGGAAGCCTAACAGAATCCAAACTGGCTGCAAAAGAAGCAGGAGGAATGGGGTGGGGGGAGGGGATCTTGTTCAAAGCACTGGCCAAGGGCAGTAAAGGACCTGAATTTTGAGAAACAGTGGGATGGAGGAACACAGTCTCTTCAGCGAGTCTTAAACGGGCTTCAAATTTCAATTTAACAACTTTGGGGAACAGACTGAATATCCCTAAGGATATGGATAAGTATTCCCATATCCTTCCTCATTCATAGCTCTTTGAACTCTTTGAGAATCACTAGTAAGTTAGGAAATGACACACAATGTAAGTTATTGGTATAAAAAAGAAACAGTAAATGTGCCCCATACAGAGGACACTAAGTGACAACTTCAGGGAAAGCACACAGCTTTCTCACTTATTTTCTTTCTGACCTAAAACGTACGCCACAGGAAGATTTTCATCTTCTGATCCATGGTGTAGTGATAAATTTTGAAGGACAGCAATCACTACACCTCAGCCCCCCAAAGAAAGTCCAAAAATGCACTCAGATGCATTGAGACTTGTATATTGGGGAGGAGGTGCATCTGCACATACACACATTCAAAGAACAACTGCATGTAGCATAATACCCAATTTATCTGGATCAGCGGAGAGTCACAGAACATCACAGACATGGTTAACATGCTGACTTTGTCTGGAGAGATCTGAGGTTAATTAACCCATGACTTGTCACTGTTGTGTGCGAATTATGCATGTTCCGAAACTGCAGAAAACAAACAGCTCATGGTTTCCAGGAGTTTCTTTTCCCACCATCAGGGACACACACACACACCTCAGACTCAGCAAGCCTACTCTGTTAGTTTTCATCTCTACCAGGAGCAAGTTATTTGTACAGCTAATAGATCTTGTTTGCCCATTCAAGATCAAGCCATTGCCAAACATGTTGCATTACAACAGAAACAGTTCTCAGTAACATACAGTTGCTGAGAAAAATCCCTTTCTTCCCCCAGCTGCTGAGAATTGCAGTGCAGCTCAGAGGGGAAGTCTGCAGGGTATGACAGATGGCATCACTGTCCCTGCTAATCACATCTTCTCACTTCTGCCTTGCAAGACCTGATTCCCCTTCACCACCCTTTTTGATACTTGTCATTTTAGTCTGTCAGCACTTAACAGACTGACTGTCATGAGCCGGGTTTCTCCTTCTGACCAGCACCAGTCCCAAACCATTTCTCTGCTTAAAAATCTTTACTGTTGCACATAAATCTCTGAGCATACATAGAGTAGAATGCTGTACCCTGTCTACTGCTCACCATTCCTTATGAACCCGTCTGCACCCTGCCCATGAAGGAGGTGCATTGTGAAAACAAGCAACCATCTGCTCTACCTGTTGTACCCCTAGTTGTGCTTCTTGCCACTGCTGGCACCAAGTCACTGGGTCCACCTCTGAAGGATGGGTTGGTCTCCATTGGAAAGACCACCTATTTCATTGTTCCCTCCTGCAGGCTATAACTGCCCATCATTCCCATGATCAGTATGGTTTGCATCCCCATCTACCCTTGGAATAAACAACCTTCCATTTTGTCCCTCAGCAGGTTATCACTTCCTAATGAAAACTAGCTCTGGAAAAAGTTCCCAAAGAGGCTTCCTTTACCAGTATCAAAACAGAAGTAAGGGAATAGGTGGGAACCCAACAGAGATGTGTGCACCAGCATGGTGGGAAATAGTTTCCCCTGAAGATTCCTCTGCTACAGAAACTTCACAAATGAGGCTCCATGCAGGCACATAATTCAAATGTGTGAATCCACAAAGGGCACCAGTTACAGGTCAGCAACCTGACTGTTCTTTGAGATCTCTGTGAAGTCCAAGTGTTAGGTGACTGCTAAGCAAAATTACCTGAAGTCAGGTGTTGGTAGAATCAAGAAAAAGAGAGATTGCCCAGAACAGTTCTTTCAAATGAAGTATCTACACATTCTGCATTCCAAAGGAGGAATCTATTACATCCACATCAGTAAATGTAGATGAACAGCCCAGGTGACAGTCCTACAACAGTTCCATGAAAAAGGATGACAATGGTGCCATTTTCTTCCTTTTCTCCCCTGAAAAACTGAGGAGGGAAGTGAGGAAGAAGAGACCTGATTCTCACTTATCTACCTAACCTTCCAAGGTGGTAATGGTCAGTTAACAGCTTCATATTTATCTGAACACATCAGGATGCTATGGAAGAAAGAAGTTTTCCAGAACATTGTGCCCATATAGAGTTTTTAAAGTAAAGAACAGCACTCTGGAAACAAACTAGAAGTCAGTCCAGATGTGTTAGAATTAACGAAGTATTTCCCACAAACTCACAACAGGCTACTGTGTAATTGTGTGGCAGAGAAACATTTCAATCACAACTAAAATCAGCCTCAGTCATATGGTAGGCATCAAAAGACACTGAGATGAGTGAAGAACAATGCATTTTTTTGCCATTTGTCTCAATCCATGCACCCACTAATGTCAAAAACTACCACTTGTAACAGCTGAAACCAAGCTGGGAATTCTGTTACCAGAATAATTGGCTAGCCAATCCATTATTATTGCTTAACATGCTATTAATGGGTACTGTTTGGGAAACTGGTTTTTCTCTTGGCTAGAAAAGAGCTGAGTTAATGCCAGGCTGCTAGTGCTTCAGTCTACAGAGGGTAAACAACGTAAGGGAGAAAAAGGAATTACTAATTGTTTTTCTATGAAAAACAGTCCAGCTCCCCACTTATTCTTTATTCGTCTGAGTACATGGACTCCTTTAGAATTACAATTATATCTCATGTTCACTTTCAACAGATGTCCATCTATGCACTGGACTAGACTTCTCACTCCATAATAGTTTTGTAAAGATGTGATTGTTACCTAATATGTAACACTTTTAGTTTACAGCAGATACACAAGTGAAATTAGGCATCTCATTCATATGTGCTAATAAGAAAGAGATCAAAATGTTGCATTACAGTTAGAACAATGGGTTGGCGGTGGGGGGTGTGTGCACATGCACGCTACGAGGAAAGTGTAACAGACAAAATTCACCATTATGCACATCTTTGGACAGTTACATGCAGACTCATAACTCTGACCACCATATTAACTCACTGTAACTTTCATTGTGACACAAACATACACCGTGATTAGCAGGCAGGCAAAACTCACACAACTGCCTAGCTGAGCCCCTAGAATGTCAAACAGAGTGGCAAGCAAGGGCTCTGCTACCTTCTACTTGCAAACCACAGGTGAAGGCCCATTACTGGGACTAGGGAGCTCCAGATGGTTAGCCCTTGAAATAGTCTACTGCCTCTCAGCTAAAGCTGCAACTCATCGGCCATGGAGAGGACAGTCTTTCCTGGGTCGCCACAGTCGCCATCCACCCAGAAGCAACCTGTTTATCTCACAAGTTTTATTTGCAATGCTCCGACTATCAAGCTTGAGATGGCTTATGACAAAAGCATTTATTAAAATTCATTCCACTCCAAACATGCTCACACTATGTGTATTTAAATATAATGAATAATTTATCTACAAAGGCTATGATACATCAAAGACATTCAAATGAAATGGGGATGATATTCTTATCAAATACAGATCAGTGCCAAGTCACAGAAAGCTGATCTTTACCTTCCCCATATTTAAAAAATGGTCTGAAAAGATTATGATCCTGTTCTTCCACTGAATGTAAATAGTTTAGCCGTATAAGTTGATTTAATGGGTCATTATTTGCATCCTACAACTGTAAGCCATTCTGAATATTTTGGAAGACAACTGTGGCACATGTGTCATAGATCAGTAATAAACAAACAAGACCACTGGGTTTCTTGAAAACAGTTGATTATCACCTCTGCATGTCAATTTCAGGGGTCCTTTGCTATAGTTTGCGTTGCTAAATGGCTTGGGGCCAGGTTACCTGAAGGATCGCCTTCTTCCATATGAACCTACCTGGAGCTTGAGATCATTTTCAAGATCATTTCATTTCAGTCCTTCTCCAGGAGCCCCTTCCAAAGGAAGTAAGGTGGGTGGCTACCAGGAGGAGGGCCTTTTCAGTTGTAGCACCCCAGTTTTGGAGTAAGTTCCTCAAAGAAGAGTACCTGGCGCCTACTTTGAATTCTTTTTGGCACCAGATGAAGACATTACTATTTTCCCAGTATGCAATAGTTTTTAACTTTAAAACTTTTTGTTTATATATTCTATTTTATTCCGTACTGCTACTTTGTTTCTGTGCTGAATCATAGCAATTGCAATTCCTATTATGGTTTTATTCTTTTAAATTAATCTTTGCATATGTGTGTTTTAACCTTTGTTTAATTTTATCTTTTGATAACTACCCAGAGAGCTATGGCAATAGTTCACAGTAATACAATCATACTCTGTTTTCCATATGCACACCTAGTTTTGTACAGAGTAGAAATACTTGAATTATAATAGGTGTCGCTCAAAGATTTTTTTACTGTCAGATATAACAGGGTTTCTTTCCAAAAGGGCAGCAACTTACTTAATTGAGTTTCTGAAGTGGTCCTCAGCAGGGTTTTTTACAGTACAACTGTTCAGTAGCCAAAGGTCTGCTTCTGCAGCATTCTCTGGAAGACAGGTATATATATTAAACAAAATTTAATCTAGTTGCTCCTAGTTTACAGCACACACTGGATTTAATCATTTAAGTGCAGGGCAGCTTGATGCTTAAAGAAAGCTTACTGACCTTTTAAAAATTGACAACAAAGGAAACAGTTTAAATACGGTGAAAATATTTCACAAATTATTTAAATACATCATTTAGAGATGCTTATCTGATTCAATAACCACTGTGACCTCGTTCACAACTTATGACAGAGAATAGGTTGAGTATTACTTGTACTGAATTGTGGAGTGTTATTACATATCAACCCTTTAATATGTTCAACTATTGGTTCTTAACTACCAATAACCCAGAGTTCACAATCCCACAACAAATCATGATCTCTATTCCTAGATTGTTTGTGCTGAATAACACAAAATTAAACCATGGTGCAAAGTTTGCACATAACAGCCCATGATTCAACAACAACCCATTGACAGACAGTGGTTAAAAGTGGGACGGGAACGCAGGCAAATTGGGTTCTTGTCCCCACTCAGCCATGGAGCCAGCCCATCACAGACTCTCAGATCAACCTTCTGCACAGGGCTGTTTTTGTGAAGATAAAATTGAGAGCAGCAAGAGAATGATGTAAGCCACTTTGACTTTGTTCTAAGAAAAAAGCAGGATATAAATCAAATAAACCCATTTTCATACCACTCTCCATCTTATCACATATAAACTCAGATCATGCACAGGTTACTGTATGTTTTCAGTGTAACTGTACTTCACCCAGCTCTATAAACCAGAGATAACCACCTTGCTGTTTTTCTCATGCACAATAACCAATCTTGTAATGAGATAGGGATGTTGGGATGTTAACACCCTCTCTCTCTCTCTCATCCATTCTATCTTCTGTACTGCCCAATATCCAAAGCTCTCTGGGCAGTTTTTTCTCCCCATGGCTGGTAGCCTTCTAGAGGCTGCATGCAGGGAACAGGCAGGCTTGTTCACACACCTTGATCTATGCACTCGACTGTCTTCCTACTCACACAGCAATTAGACTTGAAAAAAGTATTTTTCATCATTAACTGGCATGTGGAAGCACAAGTGGGCAGGGCAAGAGTTCATATTCATACATGAATGAATGAAAAGAGAGTGGGGGGAGGAAGAGATAGAGGTGGTAATAGTGGTGATAATGATTTTTCTCTCTTAATTATCGCCACTAACACCACTCTCCCCCGCATCCGTTAGCACATACTGTTTGCATATAAGGGAGGTGTGTGTGCCCATGTGTGTGAGAGAGACTTTATATACACATTCCATCCACAAACCTGAGCAGCAGGGAAGAGGGTGCATGGCTTTAGAGTTCCATTGCTCAGCTGGGCCTACCTCCCATTTCGTCACTGCAGAGCAGTTCATTTCCTGCAATCATCTGAGCAGAAAAGAGGGGGAGGCTTAATCTTCTGTCTCTCAGAGTTCCAATTAAGATTGCCACCACTCTTGCTGTTGCTACTAGCAGTAAGGGGAGAAGTTTTCATGAGTACTTTGGGGGAGGAGAACTTAAACTTTCCTTCCCCTGCAAACCATGACCGCATAGCTGAGCTGGTCACTGCAGAACAGCTGAGCAGCAGAAAAAGAAAACTGAAGTTATACCTCCTTATCAGCAAAATGGCCTGCCATGGATTATATAAAATTAGACAGTAACCAGCACGTGAACAGCAGCCAGAACATTGTCCACCTCTAAACTAGTGATAAAACCAAGGATATGTTCTTTGGAGAACATGCATATCACCCAGCAAATGTACAAAATTAAATCCTAAGAAATAATTGGGAATTCAGTTATAACAGGTAAATCCACCAAGGTCTGTTGGATATTATATAAATCCTGTTGAGATCTGCACCTTCTGAAAGTCTGTTAGAAAGTATATATTGACTGCAGAAACGTGTGCAATTCCTTCTCCATAGACAGATTTGTCTGCACATTCTCCGTGAATGAGGCAATAGCTGGTTGTTATTCACATTAGACATTCAACTCATACTCTATTAATATTCACATACACATATTACACCCCACAAACACACAGTCAGTGGAGAGAAATTTATTGCATTTGTTCTTTCCTAGTTACATAACTTTTATTAATAGTATTATAGGAAGAAAACCCAAAAGAAAAACATGTCTGAGAGCAACAACAAAGAAGTTATTGCAAAGTTCAGGTTCTTATCAATTGAAGGAGCTAATATACACAATAGCTTTTGCAGACTAATTCCTGAAAATATCTTTATCTTTAACATGGAAGGCAAGTCAAAGTAAAAGGACATTTTTCAGTTACAGAAGCAGTTGAAAAACGAACTTGTAACTCTAAAATGTGCATACAAGTCATGCCTCAAACTGCTTTAAGATATACTTTTGGAAATCAAGATCACCTGGAAATTTTCTTAAGAGAAGGCTGATAAGTATAATGCCACAAATTCTATGTATTTGTCAGAGAACAAAAACACAAATGTTCTTGTAGACTGATTTTTCAACACAGTCATCCACTGTTGGAAATAATTTAGAAGACAGTGCTATACAGATCAGCTCATATGCATTCTGTTTTCAGGATTAGCATGAGAAACAATCTAATTGTTCAGTCAGTCAGTTTATTAAAACAGGCAAAGACCAGCATAATCAGAGAAAGAAACACAACAGCCTGAGCACCACACATTTACGTTTAAAATCCAAACTCTGAACAGATGATAATACACATCATACTAGCAAAGAGAGAGAGAGAGAAAGGAAGGTTGGGCCTTAAAATTTATATTCATTGTAGGCAATACCCTGTTGAATTTTAGAAGCAGCTGCCAAAAAAAATCACACTCTAGGCTGTGATCTGTGGGTTAATTCCTGTAAGAAAAATTCTGACCACCTGTACTTCCAATTGACCAGTAAGTTTTCTAATCAAAGAGAGGATGAACTTGCCATCTACTTTCTGGTAAAATGAGCAATAAAGCATGACAAGCTCTAGTTGCTAAAAAAATGCTAGATACCTTATACTCCAAATATACTAAATATATTTGCTACCACAAGTAACAGAATTTCTGCAATGTATATGAATACAAGGAACTCAACAGTAATACTAAATCAACTTTGTTTAGATAACTCAAAGCCACAACTTTTATCTTTAGGTTGCCTTCTCCAAGAAACAAATATTGCACAAACAACAGTATCTATCAGGCTTTTGTAAAACACTGTCAACAGCAAAAAAAAAAAAAAAAAATCAAAAGGTCATGGAAACTTCTGAACTATCTAAATATAACTGGAGGTTCTGGACAGCCCAAATTGTTAGAATTATGCAGTAAAAATAGGAAAACTCTGAGTAATACAGATATACACATAATAGAGCAAAATATTTACATGTTAGTTTTCTAAGCAATTTTTGTTTATATCATTGTTCCTTTAAAGCTCTAGATACCAACCTGAATACTTAAATAGGACTGCCTGACAATCAAGGGGAAGGGAAGAGTAGGTAACAGTTGAGTGCATTGGAGCTGGTGAAGGCGCAAGGAGACAATTATAATCTAATACATCACAATTATCCCAAGAGAAGAAACATAACCTACTGCAGCCTTATTTGTAATGGGACGGCCATTGCACATTACCATTTTCTACTTCTCATCTCCAACACACTCACTCTGTCATGCCAGTGTGTGCCAAGAGGTCTATCAGATTTGGATAAGACATGTAGAAATGTGTTCATGAAATATGAATCCTTATTGCAACTAAACACTGGAAAAGTTCTAAATCTATGAAAGCAAAAACTTTCTAAAATGAATGAGTTTTTTCAATTTGCTATGAATCTCTTGCACTATCTTCAGTGTTTAGGATTCAAATCTATATATCCACTGCATTATGAGAAGAACTTTGTTCTGTGTTCATTCTGATGGCTTCAGAGGACATCTATGTCTCCCACCAAGCTTTCAGACAGTTTCATTTTAGTTTCTGCAATACACTTTTTCACAACTCCCAACTTTCTGCCCACTTTCCTTCATTTTATGTCTGTTGTACTCTGTATTAAGACTCTCTGTATTAGGTTTCATTATCTTTTTTTACGTAAGTCCTGTTTCCCCATGGCTTCCTCCCATGCCTTCCTGGTGAGTTATGCATACAGAAAGCCACATTCTTAAAACAGGAGAGAACTTGCTGTTTTCTGCTTTGCCCAAGTAAGAACTGTGGTACAATCATTGTGCATCCAGCCCAGAAACCAGAAAAACAGCTTAGAGGAGGCTGCCAAAGTAAAGCAAAAAAGTTAAGATACATTTCCTCACTTTGTATCACTTTCTGCCTTTGTTTTCAATATGTTCCTTTACTAGTACTTTTCCCTGGAACATTGGGTCCTACATGGCTGCACTAACTTAGCTCCCATATTTGGCTTCTATTGCTTCATCTATATTCTATGATAGGATAGTTTCTATGTAGTCAAATGCCATTCTATTTTCTGGACAGGGCTGGGTGCACATTGAATCACACAAACTGACCCCCTCACAGAAATAAAGGCACAAACTAGAACACCATTCACTGTATTTGGAGAGGATGCTATGAATTTCCTTTGGTTTAGAATGACGTCTCACACACTTCTGTTATCATGACTCAAAGATCCCTGGCCTGGATCTCTGGAGCACTGCTGCCAATCAGAGTGGAAATAAATAGCTCAGATGAACTCCATAAAGGAACACAGGAAACTACCTTATCCTAAGCCAAACTATTTGTGTATCCAGAATATTGTTTGCTCGCACAGCAGCTCTTCAGGGATTCAGAAATATTTCCCACAAGTATTGCCTGATCCTTGGGATGAAACCTGGTATCTCCTGATGCAAAGTGTGTGCCCTGTGGCCATTCCACAAACACAGAGCACCATCACATATTCAGTAGTCAAACACTGTTTCCTCATGTGTATGCTTCTAATTCCACTTCTACTGGATATTTTGAAATAAAATTATTGCATTGCAAAGCTCTACCAGAACAGCCATAAGTTACAATATTCTGCT